CGCCCCGCCCCGGGCCCCAGCGTCGCCGCCTTTGTCTCGGCCCGCATCAAAGCTCATGGCTGAGCCCAGCCCGCCCTTTACAAGCGCCATTTTGTCCGAGGATTCCAGGCACCAGAGAACCTATTTCGCGGGAATCTACAGGGAAGGAAAATGACTCCGACGCAGCAGGAGTCAAAGTGGCCTCTCCAAGCGAATAGAAAGAGCGAATTACCAGGCTAGCCGCAAAAGCACAGAGAAGGCGGCACCGCCATCTTACCTCCACGGCCGTCCTGCGCCACGCCGCTCACCCTCGTCTGGCAGCGCTAGCCGCTCCTAAGTCGGCCCAGGGCTTCTCCACGCCCCCAGTTGCTGATTGGCTGTGGCGCTTACGACGGTCTTGTTCCCCATTGGTCGAAGGTGGCTGCCAGCACGTCGTAAAGGATGGGACACTCAGGACAGTTACTACTGGGAGTGGCTGGATGAGCTGTCTGTCACCTATACTCCGCCGCGGGAGTGTAGGCCGGCGAGGAGGCGCGCTGCGGAAGAATCGCCTTCTCTGGATATTTTTCCACCTTGCGGTTTGGCTCGTTTTGAGCTTTTGGTTCCTCTGACTATAATCCTACATTGCTGTTTCTTCACCAGCCCTGTGTAGAAAATCGGACAGAACGAGGCCGGTGGGACGCTATACATTTGACCCTTATTTATATAGCAAAAGGCTTTATTAGTTTTGTGAGCAGTTCCGCACATTTACTTATCATGTTGGTGTTTGGTGTTTATCGTGAGTCTGGGAAAATCGCAGCTACCATTTATTTAGTTGGTGTTTTATTATTGTTATTATTACTATTATTGGAGCAATCCTAAATGGTAGCGAATATTATCTCAATTTTACGTGTAACTTAACCAAGAAGCAGAATAGGCCCCGTAACTAAGAAATAGGAGACAGGCAAATTTGAACTCAGACCTCACCCTTTATCTCCTACTGCCTTTTAAATACTTAAGGGCATTGGACTGCCTAGAATAAGGAAACATGAGCTCTGGTATAAACCTTGCTTTCCAAAAAACTGTGCCATAGTTCTCTAAAATTCTCTGACTCCATGCCAGGTAATTCAGGTAGTAATAAAAATGACTGGCAAGGGCTAGGAAGGTGGCTCAGTGGTAGAGTGCTTGCCTTGCATGCATGAGGCCCTGGGTTCGATTCCTCAGCACCACATAAACAGAAAAAGCCTGAAGTGGCACTTTGGCTTAAGCGGTAGAGTGCTCGCCTTGAGCTGAAGAGCTGAGGGACAGCGCCCAGGCCCAGAGTTCAGGTCCATAACTGGCAAAAAAAAAAAAAAAGGCTGGCAATAGCAATGTTTATTATCCATTAAAGATTTTCAGCTAAGTATCTCTTCTGTTATCACCGCCTCTCTGGTAGAAATGTCCCATCACTTTCTACATATCTTTGCATCCTGACCTCCCTTACCTGCTCACTGCATTTCATTTAAATAAGATGTTGTGTCCTTGACCAAAGAGCAGCTGAACAAGATCACAGTATTCAGAATCCACAGCCCTCAAGAAAAAAAGGCATTTAGGGACAAAAAAAAAAAAAGATTAAAACCAATATTGCAGAAGGATACTGCTTCCAGAGATTAAGGCAGTCCTAGAAAAGGCCTTTACCTGAAATTCATTTATCTCATAAATATTTATTGGGCACCTGAAGTGCCTGGCATTGGAGATACAGGAGAAAAACCAAAAAGAGATTACCCTGCTCTCTTGGAGTGAACATTCTAGAACAGTTTGGGATTTTGAGTGCAAATACATAGTATCAGTAGCAACAATACTACCATACATAAACACACCAAACCTCAGAAGTGGTACAAAGATACTTTGTATAAACACTATATAACAAAACTAATTGGAAACAGTCACATTACAGGAAATTTGAGAATCAGAATCTGCAACCTACGTGAAAATATTAAAAAGGAGTGTCAAACCTACTAAGCAAGTAAAGCGACACAGGAGAGGGATTCAATGAAAAGATTTTCTAATTAGAGGAAAATTCTTCTAAATTCAAAAAAAAAAAAAGGTTATTTAGAAGTATTTCCAGCTGGGTACTAGTGGTTCATGCCTGTAATCCTAGATACTCAGAATGTTGAGATCTGAGGATTGCAGTTTGAAGCCAGCCTAGTCAGGAATGTCCCTGAGATTATCACCAATTAACCAAAAAAAAACAAAAAACAAAAAAAACAGACGTGGAGCTGTGGCTCAGATAGTGCTAGTCTGGCGCAAAAAAGCTTGGGGATGGTGCTCCAGCCCTTAATTCAAGTCCCAGGCTGGCCAAGAAATATTTCTTTGGTGTAGGGAAACAGATAAGATTTTGGAAAATTCTTCCTCGTTGTTTAAATGAAGTAGATAGCTGTCTCTACTTTCCAAGGTCTGAGCACTGAACCCTTCTCATTTCTACTAATGCTGACCTTGGTTTTCTGTCAATTCACCCATACACTGATGATTCCATAATGTATAGGTCTAGCCTAGACCCTTCCTTTGAACTTCCACAAGCTCTTACCATATCAACCCAAAGGGTGTAAGTTAGCGGTCTACTTTCCTTCTGTTAACTGGCCTTTCCACTATTGGAGGCAAAAATCCCCCATTTGTGTGCTAGATTCCATTTCATCTACTCAATGACATCACTCCACCTCTCTTACATTCTCATTTTTCCCATCCACATATGTACATGCTACTTCTGCCACTTTAAAAATAGCAAAAAGATCTATCTTAGCTCTTCCTTCAGCTACTGCCACATTTCTCTTAATTTTTTTTTGGGGGGGGGCAGGTGGGAGGAGGGAGGAACAAGGTATTGTTACATTTGGGATCCAAACTTCTCAAACTAATTCTCCCGATTTAGCTCCCCCGCCCCCAAGAAATTGTTAGAATTGCAAGTCTTAACACCAGTTCTCATTATCTTCAGCACTTGCAGCCTACAAAGCCACCTAAGTTGAGATTTTGCTTCCCCATTATTCCTACAATGTTTTGTAAAACCGAGATGATCACTTCTCTGTGAAACCCTATCCCCAATGGTGTCTGTGACCCATTCAGTTTTCATAATGGCCTCTGAAATTCTATGGTTATCTGTTTCTATTGCTTCTCGAATCTCATGACTTCCAAACTTGACTCATTTCTGTATGATCTCACCTCAGAACCTGTGATATATGATTCCTAAAATGCTATTCCTATGGCTTGGTCTCTCCTTTAGATATTTGCTAAATGTGTCCTTGTGGCATTTCCTACCCAACTCCTCCCTCTAATTACATAACCACCCAACTTACACACACACCCTTTTTTCCCTTGCTTTATAGTCTAAGTATTCATCTCCACCTAACATACTATGCTTTATTTAAGTATTTGTAAACTCCTCAAAGGCAAGATGCTCATTTATTGCTATATTCCCATCAATAAACAGAATACATAGCACCTAGCACATTTCCTGAAGAACAAATAAAAGGGAACAGTCTTTTCCATTTTAATTTTTCAGACACAGGTATTTCAGAAAGGGATTCAACTATAAAATGACGAATGGTAATAATCAATATTTTTAACTCTCTCATGCCCAAATCAGGAAATGATGTGGGTACTGGTCATAAATTGAAACTTAGCTCTGGTGCAGTGCCATGTACCTATCATCTCCAATAGACAAAAGTAAAACCGTATCTCAAAAAAAAAATCAGTACAAGCTAGGCGCTAGTGGCATACATCTGGAATCATAGCTAATCAGGAAGCTGGTATCTTAGAATTAAGGTTCAAAGCGCGTTTGTGTGTGTGTGTGTGTTGCGCACACGCACACACACACACACAGAGCTGGGTGCCAATGGCTTACACCTGTAATTCTAGCTACTCAGGTGGCTGAGATCTGAGGATTACAGTTCAAAGCCAGCCAGAATGGGAAAGTCTGTGAGACTCTTAATACCAATTAACCACCAAAACGCTGGAAGCAGAGCTGTGGTTAAAGTGGTAGAGCACTAGCCTTAAGCAAAAAAACTTCAGGGACAGTGCCCAAGGTCCCAAAACACACAGAGAAAAGAAAAAACAATGTGATATGGTCTGAAAAGGAAGCTCACTAATTGCCTGTCTAGCAAGTGGGAATCCAAAGTTCAAACCCCTGTATTGAAAAAAAAAATTCACTTAACAATCCCAGTAATTGGGGCCCAGCTATACTCAAACTTTCAATTGATACCTCATCTCTTCCAAAGCTGACTAACCAGACTTTAATTGCCAAAATGTAAAAATGTCAAGATACAGCAAGTAAAAATTGAGAGACTGGGGGAGACCAATGGAAGGGGAGACATTGATCAAGATGCAATGTACTCATGCTAGGCACCAATGGATCATACATGTACTCTTAGCTACTCAAGAGGCTGAGAGGTAAAGATCATGGTTTAAAGCCAGACCTGGCAGAAAGCCCATGAGACAATTTTTGCCAATTAACCACTAAAAAGCCAGAATTGGAAATATTGTTCACTAGCCTTAAGCAAAAAAAGCTCAGGGGCAAAACCCAGACCCTGAATTCAAGCCCCAAGACCGGCACAAAAAAAAAAAAAGGAATTTACGTAATCATAAGCTCAGTTAGGGAACTGAAATCTCTATACAACTACTTAATAATCTTAACTAGACACTAGCTTGTCAACAGCAATATTAACTTTTCCAGTAGAAACAAAATCGTGCAATAAATTATTATTTTGCTATTTTCATTTTTTCTTAAATTTTTTTAAAAGTGCAGAAAAAATTAAGAGTAGAAAATTTGTCTAGCATGCACAAGATTCTGGGTTCAATCCCTAGCACCATTATTAGTGCTCACCTAGTAAATAAAAATTTGAACCTACCTTATTTTGGAAAATAACAATGAGCCAGATGCTGGTGGCTCATGTTTATAATCCTAGCTATTCGGGAGGCTATAATCTGATTCAAAGCCAGCCCAGGCAGAAAAGTCCCTGAAGACTCCCTTTCCAGTCAACCAACTAAAAAAAGCTGGACTTACAGACATGGCCCAAGTGACAGAGCATCAGCCATAAGGACAAAGAAAAAAAAAGCCATAGTGTAAGGCCCTGAATTAAATCTCAAGTACCAGAAAAAAAAACATACTTTCTGCCTGGGTATGGTGGATCATGACTGCACATTCAGCTCTCAAAAGGCTGACACAGGAGGACCTCAGGTTCAAAGGCCAGTCTAAGTGACACAGCAAGATCCTGTCTCAACATAAGCACATTTTCTCTGACAACAATTGCTGTATCAATCTTAACAATTCAGAATTTTCAAGCAATATACAATTATGACTCATACTGAACATGTTAGAGCTACAAATTTTTGTTTACAAG